ATCTTTATTATATTTATAGCCTTATAAATTTTTCAAGAATCAAACTTAGATTTTTTTGTTGCACAGCATCATACAACGTTATTAATTCTTTACATATTTATTTACTCATGATTAAAGTTACAGTATGTGGAATTTTTTTTGTATATTATTTCTATTAGTGTTAATTACTTATGGCTGAAAATTATAAGTATCATACTAAAGAACAAATTTAACCTGTCCAAAAGTTTCATTATTTTCTTTAGTGTTAATTACATTTTTAATTAATATTCACGTCGTTTTTACTGATATCAGCATTTAACACATTGTTTTCATTAACATTACTCTTAAGATTCACATCGCATACTAGATTCTTTACAGTGATGCTAATTTTTTTACCTGTCATATACACATTTCTTTACTTTATTATATAAAACCTACTGTATAAGCCGGTCTATTAACATATTAGAAATTTGGGGCCTGGAGGGCCGTTCATTATTACTAAATAATTTCTTTCAAATGATAATGAAATACATTTTAGAGACACAATAATAAACTTTATTTATTAAATAAATATGTTTATTTACTTAAAAAATATGCTTATTTATTTAAAAAATATGTTTATTTACTTAAAAAATATGCTTATTTATTTAAAAATATGTTTATTTACAAGTGAAGGTGTACAATAACTGATTTGATATTTGACGTGGCTTTTAAATCACCTGCTCTATAAATTCAACTTGTGTGAATTATGATCAAAAGGTTATTGTACCACTTGGGTTTCTATGTCTTTTTCTGAAACTTAAATTGAACATTATATTAGTATAAATGCTCAGAAATAAAAAATCAACCATACAAAAAAAAACCATGTACTTTGTTTTTTCAGAGACTGAATTTCCATTTTAAGTTGAGCGTTTTCTTTTTTTAACTTTTTATTTTCCTCCGCTAAATTGGCATTTTCGGCGGCTAGCTTTTCCTCTACTAAATTGACATTTTCGGTGGCTACCTTTTCCTCTGCTAAATTAGCATTTTCGGCAGCTATCTTTTCATCTTCTATTTTTAGGTCTTCACGCTCACGGTAAAAGCATTTGATGATTTGGTTCGTAGCCTCTGCAGTGAATTCGTACTTGTTGTTGATCTTCTCTTTATATTCGATTAGTTCATCTAAAATTGATTTTCGATCCTTTATAAGGTTTTGGAATTCTTCAAATTTTTGTTTAAAATTTGCTTCATTGATTTTTTTGTCTTGTAGGCATTGTTCCAACCTTCTTTTTTCTCTGTTCAAAAATTTAATATTTTCTTGTAGGAATTTTATTAAATTTTCGTAGGGCGACAGATTTTCTGAAGGTGTTGTTCTTGGCATTTTTTTTAATTAATTGGTCCTGAACGTGAATTTATGGTCTTTTATATATTAAAAAACGATTATAGAAAACTGCATAGTATAAACATAATGATGTTATCAAGACGTAAACATATTACCTTAATGTACTGGTGAATTTGTCTAAAGTCTTAAAGACAAATTGTATGTTATTTATTGAAACCAACCATATAAAGCAAGTTACTATTAGTGTTGGTACTATTGTTCTATTATATTGTTTTATTGTAAATTCTATTGAATATTTAGAATACGATGAAATTATATTAACTATTGACATATAATTCTGAAAAATTGAGCAACGATCGTGCGCCAGCTATGGAATTTGGATATGATTGACAGACTCATGCAACCAAAATCGCCCATGCAATTCCACAAAGAAATAACGTTATAATATATAGCACGCCCTAAAAATAAAATATTAATTATGTTGTAAATACGTAAAATTATAAATCATTCTAGAAAAAATTTACTTTTTGCCCAAAATTTTATACATCTTAGGGATGTGCGGAAAGTTAGTAGACTTGGAAAAGATGCAAATATTTTACAAGGCTTCTTTCTTGAAGTAAAACAGTCCGGGGTTGAATTTATAAGATCGAAAATCTCGATTTGTTTTTGATTATCGCATTTTAGAGATTTAGCCCCCAAAAATGATAAATTCAATAATATAAAAAATATATACATATATATATATATTTACAGTACTCAAATTAGTATCTATATTGCCACCCGCGTGATTAAAAACAATCAGAACTTTTTATACGATTATCATTAATGAGAACCCATTTAAAGATGCATTATTAAAACTTTTATTTAGTTATTTTTAATGGAGAGAATATTGGGTTTCATACGTAATTAACAAAAATTAAATGGGATTTTTCAAGTGGGAAATTCTATCTTGATTCGGTACTGTACGCAAGTTATCACTAATACTATTAATTTACTTCACATCAAATTTTACTATGTTTGGGGTGTTTTAATATCAAATGAGAACAGAAAATGTCGATCTGGGAATTAAAGAATTCTCCGACAAATAGTTATTTTATGACAGGGTGAAACCTGTGCAGAAACAGTTACATTATCGTTATTGATGCAAATCCTATCTAAAATAGCAATTAACCCTAATTAAGTATGGTCTGCATCAAAGAAAGTTATCACTGCACGGATTTCACCCTTTCATATCGATATTATTTTTATCATTTTTATAATAGTAGTTATAATTTCCCTCAAATGATTTATTATCGTGGTGCAACACGACGCACTACTGTAATATATAAAAACTATGAACAATATACATAGAATTATTAAATAGTTTTTTAAAACTAAACTCTTTACATATATTTTGCAAGTTACAAAATTGAATTTGCTTCTCTAGAACCAGAGTTATAATGGTTCAAAAATTTAAAAATCTTATATATTTTATTACGTATACGTGCTGCACTATGATAGTAAATCATTTGATGTGCCACACCCCATACTATGTTAAATTATAAATCGGAAAAATAAAAGTTTTTGAGTTTAATTTTGAAATTTCCCATTTATCATCAGAATATAATTGGGATAATAAACGAATATAATAATATAAAACTGATATGAGTTAAATAGTTAACTTTGGTAGTGTTGTATGACCCGACAAGTCATCTAATCTACATCATACAAGGTGATAATTTGGCATTTTTAGTTGTAGTTATATGTTGTTAGTTAATTTTCACGCGACGTGATAGCAATTAAGTGGAAATGACCATCGGAAAATTTATACAAAAGAATTTTCTTTCTTACTAGGTTTAGTGCTCGATAATTAATAATTCAATTTCGTATGAATTCTAGTCATGACGACATTTAATATGTTAAAAAGAAGTTGTATGATGCTGTGCAACAAAAAAATCTAAGTTTGATTCTTGAAAAATTTATAAGGCTATAAATATAATAAAGAT